CATTCGCAGATGCAGCGTTCCTCAGATCCCACCTTGAGACTGAAGAATGCAGAGGTTCGGAAGAAAGGATTATGCAATTAAATAGATGGAGAGCTATCTCGGAGTTGCAAGCACAGCACATCAACAACAAGTACCAGCATGATGTCAATGAACGTGACACCATCATTTCCGAGCTAAAGGACAAAGCCAAGATTCTGTCCCAACAAAACACCAATGCCGAGGTCGAGATCGAGGGCCTGCGAGAAAGGTATCGCCAAGAGATGGATGCCGTTGCTCGATTAAGGGGCACAGTATCGAACACCGAAGCCGTTAGGACAGAATTGGCAGAGAGGTTGAGTGCAAATGCTCAGATGCACATAGAGAACAGTGCATGCATCAATTTGTTGATGAGGTACGACAATCTGTTGAGGATTTCCGAAACTCAGAACGTGAGTCGGAAGGACAGCAACAGAAACTGTTCCTGGAAAAGGCACAAGAACTCATGGTCGTCGAGCAAAAGGTAGCTGAACAGGTGGCCATGGTATCCCGTGCGGAACATAACCTCAACGAAGAGCGCGCCACGTTTTACCGAGGCAGGCAAGATTCAGATGTATTCATGCGCAATGAGATTGAGGAGATGAAACAAGAGCACGGTAGATTACGCATAGAGCTCATGGCCGCATCCAAAGACGCAGGAGCACTGAATCGACAATTGATGGAAAAGGATGATGAAGTGAGACAATTGAGGGTAGCTCTGCAGGAGGCTAACAGTGCGCCATCTATGAGTTCCTGGATGATACCCAAAAGCATAGGCTGAGGGGCGCCGTAGAGGAGTGGCAGAGCACGCGCAAGTTCATGGAAAGCACGAGTGCGACTCTTCGTCGTCGACTTGATGATCAGGAATCATTCGTGGAGCAGTTGAGTTCGGAGTTGTCACGACAAGAGAAACGCACGAAGGAATTGATCCGCAAAGAGAACAAGTCGTCCTCCGCGTCTTCGCAACCTACGTCGAAGTGGGGTGATTCAGTACAAGATCTACTGAAGGGTGGGGGAACGTTTCACACTAATTCGTCGATCAATTCGGCACTCACTGGTGCAGGAGCCCCGTTGTTTGACATTATCACTAATACTCAGTATCAAGGTAATGTAGGCATACTCCAGCTTGCGTCCTTTGGTCGTGCCCCCGGTGGTGGAGATGGCCTTCTGGGGGACTCCCGAGGCTCAGACACAAAGAATATTGAGAATACGGGACAAGATTGAAAATGGCGGGAAAGGAAAGAAGAACAAAGGCTTGGATGCCGAGCGTGATGAGGAAGGGGGAAGTCCACCTTCACCCCCCATCGTCGTCCTCTTCCTCCTACTCGTCGTCGTCGCCGTCGAGTTCCAGTGAAAGTTCGTCTTCGTCGTCGGATGATGAAAAGAAAAAGAAAAAGCAAAAGAAGAAGAAGAAAAAGAAAGACAAGGTGACTCGGAAGGAGGCTGAGAAGGTTTCGGTCCCAGTGTACCCGAAGATGCATCAACTTGATCTCTGGAAATCGCAGTTGACCATGGCGTTAGTCAGTCGCTGCATCTGGGGATACCGATCACAGCAAATGGTTGAAATGGTTATCGCCGTCATGGAATACGAATCCCAATCTCGACTCACTAAACAAGGTCAGTAAGGAGTATCGGTCAATCGACGTGAAGCTATGCCTCGCGTTCATGAGCATGCTGAAGACTGCAGGTGACGTGGCGCGCGTTGTCAGGCTTGAAGTCGAGAAGTTGCAACAACATCGTGCGAAGCATGATAAGATCTTGTCGGGAAGGGAGGTGATAGCTATTCTGTTTGAAAGCTTCAGGTCGAGTGACAATGCAGACGTCATGTACATGATTGATAATCTCATCCACATGAAGTACCCTGGTGATTCGAAGCTTTATGACTTCTACACCCAGTGGCATGCGGTTCTGGAGGGGATGCGGGCAGAAGATGTTCCCCCTAAGCGTACCCTTAGGGATATCCTCTACAAGAAGATTAGAGATTCCACGATCATGAAGTTTGATTTGCTCCTCTATGATCAGTTTGCGGACTCGGATCCCATGAAGACCTACGACCTGTTGATGAGTTTCATTGTGAAGCGCATTAAGCTTGATCGTGAGAAGAAGAATCAGCTGGAAAAGGAGAAGGCGTGGACCGAGATCACGAACCCGAAGCCTGGAGCGCCTGCCACAAAGGCGGAGAAGGAGAAGGCAAAGAAAGAAAAGGAGAAAGGCGACAAGCCCGATAAGCCCGGAGTCCCTGTTGTTCCCATCCTAAGGCGAAGACACATCCACCTCCTGGGAAAGGAAAGGGAAGAGGTGGTCGATCGAACTCACCGTCGGGTGATAAACGCCCATGCTATTTCTATCTAGTGAAGCGGGATTGCAGGAACGGGAAGAACTGTCCGTTCGCGCAGGACACAAAGCTAAGGGAACAGGCCGAAAAGATGGGTCCACCTCGATCCAGGAGTGCATCACCGAAGGGAAGGGGGGATAGAGCGTGTAGGGATTTCCAGAAGGGTAATTGTACTCGGGGTGACAAGTGTCCTTACTCACACAAAGCTGATAAGCCAGCCGCGCCTGCTATTAAGATCGCGGTGACCTCCATTACGTTGCCAAAGAAGAAGAAAGGGGTTAGTTTCTCTGGAGTCATCGACACCAAAACTTACGTCGTCCCTGTCAAGGATGGGACACGTTGGAGAACCCCCCAAGACCCTTATCAGAGGCATCGGAACCCCAGATTGTGTGATTCCTCCATATTCGAAGACCCAGATCGCGTAGAGAACGTCAAGGCGCAGACTGAGGCCGCTAGTGCAGCTGGGGAACTACTTCACGAGGTCGCTTCTAAGCCTGGGCAGGACCTGGGATGACGTGGGTAGTTCAGTACAACAAGCAGAGCGACAGTGTAGTGCACGACATCATTAAGTCCGAGTTCAAGGGACAACATAGCGCGCTTGCTTCAGTGTCTGATGATGCTTCTGGGGATGAGGAATCCGGTGGGGACAACGATCATGAGGGCCACCAATGGATCATGGATACTGGGTGTGGATCTGATTTGATCTCCAAGGCCAAGGTTGAAGACCATAAATTGCGTAGGTCAAAGGCCAAGAACCCCATCCAACTAAAGGATTAGACGTCGTGACCATGAACATTGTGGAGTTTGATGAGAGCGTTGAGCCTTACGTTCTGCCTGATACTCCCTCTGTTCNNGAGGGCTATCACTTTGTTTGGTTGTCCGGCAAACAACCATACCTCATTACGCCTAGCGGTAAACTCGTTGCTCTTGCAGTCGAAGATGACATACCTTATCACATTTCGGGAGATCCTAGGTGCCAACCAGTCGAGCCCACGCATGAGTTGTCCATTCCATGCTTGATTGAACACTTACGGGATACTGTGGGCGAAGACAACGAGCCAGCCGTCCCGGCTGAACCTAGTGATCAAGGTGATGAGATGATTGAAGCTGCAATTAGAGTTATCGAGGCGGATGATGGAGACGCAAAATCACCAGTCTCGGGTTTCCCGACCGGTGAACACGGCGAGAGCAGGCGAGAACAGGATGCACCGGAGGATGCGGCGCAAGATGAACACGGTGTGGTGTTAGTGGATGAGAATAATGGGGCCCCAGTCAAGATGCCAAAGAGGAAGCTAAAAGAAGAGGCTGTGTCTGTGGCCCACTTGATTTCTCACCGCTTCAAGAACCCGTATTGTCAGGCTTGTGTACGTGGTAAGATGAGACACCTTTATACAAGGAAGGGAGCCTTTCAGAGAGAGCTGAAAGAATGCGGTGACGTTGTTACGTTGGATTCGTTTTTCCTGAGGGTTAGATGGACGATGATTTCGTCATGAAGATGCTTACTGTAAAGGACATCTACACTAATTTCATCGGGGCCTATCCTGTGGACACGAGGTCCGAAGTCAACGTTAGGCCCTCAAATTCTTCATGGGAGGTAGAAAGATCAAGCTGTTGTGTGGTGACAACGCTGAAGAGTTCGAGAGGGCTGCCGAAACGCTTGAGATCCCATTCGATAACTCCGTCCCTAACCGCAAACAAACCAATGCCATTTTTGTTGAGAGGACCAATCTCTATCTTGAGGATCAAGTAGCCACGTGTTTAGTTGCTGCAGGTCTTCCACCATGTTATTGGGAATTTGCATTGCGATGCTACTCTCTCCTTCGCAACACCGAGAAGGTTAATGGGCAGTCTCCCTGAAAACTTACCTTTGGGGAAGAATTTCAAGGGAAACGTATACCGTTTGGTGCCCTTGTGCATTTTGCAGTTACAGGTGTGTTTGCTGGATATGTCACCACCTCGGGCGAGAACTGGAGGAGGGAATACCTAGCCTGGCCATTGGTTGATTTCACAGATGCCGACTTGTCGTTAGATTGCGGGATGGTCCCAAGACACCTCAGGGAGCCAATTGTTGCTGAGCGTATCTCGTTGGTAGCTGATAAGATCACTTTTCCTCTCAAGAATGAATATGAAAGGGTCAACACCACGCTTGAAGGAATAAAGGACATTGCCTCCTCACGCGAGGGTCCTGAAGTCCTCGGAATGGTGGATGTCGACACCCCCAAGCCTCGTCTTCATTATGTGTCCGAAGGCTATCTGCGTTATTCAGAGGGTACTGCAGGCGATGGTAACATTTATGTTGACGACGATGGATATAATGTCAAACTTGACATTTGGTCGACGTTACAGGGTTAGATCGGATGGGGTTAGGGAACTTCCTACGTCTAGACCCTTGGGTATTCCTCCCGAAGCATGGGCCCGCATGGGTGAACGAGAAAAGGAAGAAGCCATTCGTACCAGGGACGCAATCGAGAAGAAGAGCAGGCGAAGCTCACTTCCAAGGACGCGTCAAAGGTGACCGACACGAGCGGCGCAACTGGTGGTAATGCTCCGATTGAAACCCGCGAGGACCGCGAGGACGAACTCGCGGAGTACTCCCCTGATGATGTTCCCGCAGCGTATCCCTTGGATCCTGAAGCAGAAGAGGTAGAAAGGTACGCGCGGGAAAGGGGGGTTGAATCAGATGCAGAGACCGAGGTTGAACCTGCTGCGCCCGGGGTTGAGGTAGAGATTGATCATGAGAATGATTATCAGTTCTACAGTGATGGCTTCGAGGTTCCTGAATGGGAAGAAATTGTTCCAGAAGGGATGAAGGTTGATGCGGTTCCGTGTGTACCTATCTTTGACATTGGAGAAAGACTCGCTAAAGACCTCCTACAGAAGGGAATGACATCAAGAAAGGATGTATTGAACGCATTGAAGTTGGCCAGTCTGAAAATAAGGGTTAACTACAGGGCCATTGATGTCTCAGGTCAGGCCGCCCGGAAGATGCTTGACACTTGGGTGTTTGGGCTTTACAACAGGGGAGGGGTGGTTGGTATTACCAACGACACGAAGCGAAGGCCATGGTTATCCAGATTGGTCACGGCCATGATCAGGGCTGAAAGGCCCGGATTTGAGTTCAGTGCATTCTCTATCAATCAAAACTTGGAGATTGGCATGCATAGAGACACCACTAACTTAAAAGGTACGTTGAACGCTCTGATAGGTCTTAACAAGTTTGCAGGGGGACAATTGTGGATTGAAGATTCAAAGGGGAACATCGAGAATATCCCTCTCGATAAGCTCACCAAGGATGGAACCACTAAGGTCCCTGGGAGACTTGTTGCGACATCCGAGAAAGCCGTGACATTCAATGGTAGGAAGTGGCATTGCGTAGAACCGACGCGTGATGAAAGGCTGACCGTTGCTTGTTACACTCCATGTGGAATCAGACACGCAAAGAAAGGAACGAGAAGGATCCTAAAGAGGTTGGGATTCGTCCTTCCGAGGCGACACAACTCCCTGCTGGGCGACGCCCCAGGGATTCGAGCAGTTCCGGCAATGCCTTGCGTCGAGACATCGGTCCAGGGGCACAACGAGAAGATCGCAAAAGAAGAGGAAGAAATCTTGGATGCGATCCTTTCGAGGTTGGCCCTGGTATCTAGACCGGTTGGCAGAAAAGAAATGCTTGAGAATCCTAAAGCTGTAGAGGCGGTGAAGAAGGAATGGACTGGGCTCAACAAACGTTGTTGGGAATTCGAGTCCATGAGGGAGACGGATGATGTTGCCAGGGAAGCTCGGGAATCAGGGGAAGAACTACACTTTGCTAGAGCTCATACCATCATGGTGGAAAAGCATCACATTTTGGATGAGGATGATCCTCGGCGTAAGTTCAAAGCCCAGGGGGTATCTCTAGGTAACCAGATGACAGATCAATCCAACGAAGCAGCTGTATTCTCTGATCTAGGCAGTTCGCCTGCGTCCTTTGAGGCATCTAGATGGGCTGACTTCTACGGTAGCTTGAAGGGTAACAGTTGTCAGACCGCTGATGCCATACAAGCTTATCTACAAGCCCTGCTTCTTGGCCGCGAGTGTTGGATGGAATTACCGCCCGAGGCTATCCCCGACGAATACAAGAAATTGTATAATTCTTTTAGGAGACCGGTTGTCCTCTGTACCCATGCTATCTACGGACATCCTGATGCTGGCACGAGTTGGGAAGTCTATTGCGATGAAGCTGTTAAGAAACAAGGGTTTGAGCCTATTGGCGAAAATTGGCCCTCTGTGTACTTCCACAAGAAGCTCAAATTGTTGCTAGATATTTACGCGGATGACCTGAAGATGGCTGGTCCTACGCAAAACCTGAAGGGTGGTCACTCCTGCGTCAGGCCATCGA